GAATCATGAAACTTATTGAATGTTAATTTCAACTTTGAAGAAGAATAAAAATCTTACATTCATTGCAAAATAGTAATGCCTTCATTTAGTTTATTGGAGAATGTTCTTATGGCGTTCAAGAAAAATACTGTACTTAGGTAACATAGCTTTGTTCTTTTACGAATCATCCAAATAAAATGCACTAAACTGTAAACAGAGGCACAGGAGAAGATTATACTCTTCAATAGCTCTATTATGTTGAGAAAATAGGACAATAAATTTCTTTGAAGATTTCAAGGAGCAAGGGCTTTCCTGTCATCATAAGTACTTTCTGCTATAATGACTCATTTGGAAGGAGAGAGAGAGGGAGGGGGGGGGAGAGGAGGGATAGAGAGAGAGAGAGACAGAGAAAGAGAGAGAGAGAGAGGGATAGAGAGAGAGAGAGAGAGAGGGGACAGAAAGAGAGAAAGAGAGAGACAGAGAAAGAGAGCGAGAAAGAGAAAGAGAGAGAGGGATAGAGAGAGGGATAGAGAGAGACAGAGAGACAGAGAGAGAGAAAGAGAGAGAGAGAGAGAGAGAGAGGGAGAGAGAGAACAAGATCAAAATCTTGACAGTACATGTTTATCTATATCCGAAACTTTTGTCTCAATCACAGTGCTACAAAATTCCTGGGCCGGATAACATATCATTGCATTAAAAATAACAATTCATTGTACCATTTGACAAATTGAGGATATTAGGCCAATTTTTATGAGTTTGTGGTTTTTACCACAACTATTTCTTCTATGTGTAAATATTTATGCAGGTTAATATCACAATCATAACAATATAGGAATGTACCAATGACACAAATTCACGAACCATGACATGACTTGCATGTCCTTGTTCATAATTACCGTAATATAGAATATTAATTCATTTCTATTTTAAACTCTCCCTCCATACTTCTACATGTAACTGAGGTCATATGACACTTGCTCTGGTGGAGATTGCTCCATGATAATTTCCTGCACAACCCAAATTCCTATCTTAAACCCCAGATCTATCACTAAACCTAACCCTAACCCTAACCCTAACCCTAACCTACAGCAAATGCAACCCTAACCCTAAACCTTTGATGAAATAAAGACCTGAGTGAATGTTGCCTGAGCAATTGTCAGGGCACCTCTTTTATACATGATTAGTTTGCAGGTACAAACCTCTGTCAGTCATAATGCATAATAGAGAGGGTCTGAGCTAGAAGACTACTCAGTGACTGCAGTCCATAGGCCCTGTACTGTAGCTGCTCCTGACGACAGCCAGAGAATGACAAAGCTAGTTTCTACTCAAGGCTTTAGGAAATATGGTAAGGTATCAAATCATAGTTTCTGCTACAGACTAATACATGACTACCATTGTATTGAGTGAGCGAAGATACTTGAAATCTTTTTGGTAAGCTGCACCCTCTCCCAGCGAACATTCACCTCTACAGTGATCCCTCAGGGATTATCTCTCGGTCTTCCTTTCAAAGAAACTATTAATCTATCAACAAAGATGAGACTTTGGACCTTCCCAGAAGAATGAATCAGACTGGGTTTATGGCCAGATCTCAGTAATGCCCCTGTTCACATCCACATATACAATACCGGTAGTCTCTTTTGACTGTAAAACCTTACTACAGTCAAACCTGATTTAGTGCTTTAGTGACCACCTGTCTACAAAGGCCACATTTGTTGTTTCCCTTGAAAACGGTTTCTCATTGAATCATGTACTAAAGGAACCTGTCTACAAAGACCACTTTTTGTGTTTCCCTTGGGTGCTATAGACAGGTTTGACTGTATCTGTATATATTCCCAGCTAGAAATATGTGATTTGGGCCCCTACCTTGTCCATACCAACACATCTGATTGGTCAGTATAGAAATAAAACCGTCCTGACTGTTCATATTCCTTCCTTCATTTAATAGGCAATTTGGATTACAACCAGATTAAATGTTCCTGTTCATAAAAATAGTGGTCTATTTAGATAGCATGCCCCAAATTGTCTGTTTACAGTCTACACTCTTTCCTTCATCACTCAATTTGGGTTGCAACAAGATTGCATGCCATTTTTCACATTCATTAAACTTAAAAGTCAATTTGAAATGTAATAAGATCTAATACCCCAGTCCATATCCTCTCATTATAACTTTCGGTAGTTGAGTACATTCATTGCACTTCTCTAATGCCTTAAGAATATTCTGAACTACAATCAAATTGAATGCCCTGTTTTCATTCAACATGCATATCCAAGAATAGATTTTACAAAAACAAATTGTATGATTCATGAAACATTCAAACTACCTTTACATATAAAAGTCATCCAAAGTTCCTTGAAAGTTGATATTTTAAATGTTTATGAGTCAAATGAATGCACATTTGGAGGGAATTGGTGGAATAGAGCTATATTCCATATTCCTAGATTTTGATAAGATGGTAAAGAGTGGGGAACATTTTTTTCTAAGTTTATCCTCTTTAAATTGTATGTGTGCATACATTTGGCACATTCACAGTGGTACATCCTTTCCATTGAAACTATATTATGAGAATTCTCATGAACTTATTTGACCCCATCCCCAAAGAGACATTGATCCCTCACCAAATCCGCATGTCAATGTCCAGGATTCATCCTTGCATCAGAGAAACTCTACTAGAATTACCATCACATGATAGCATAGATTACAAGGGGTTTTATTTACTACGGCTTTCTTCGTCATCATGATGAATTTCCATGAACTTGAATATCGACAAACACGTCCTTATCTCATGATAAGAGGTCATTAAACTCAAGGCTCTCATAAACAAACCCATTTACTAAACTTGTCTAAAATCATAAGTACATGGTCATTGTCTCAACTGCATATCTAATGTTCTTTGTTCATGTTTTCCTTTGCATATTCATGACATGGACCCTACCACAAATGTTCAAACATTCTGTGTTTCAAATATACTAGTTTGTTCGTTCGTGTCTCCTTAGATCAAGATAGTTATGTAAAGTTCCTTAATTAAATTAAATTAAATTAAATCAAGTTCTTCCATCGCCTGATTGCTGCAATATACTGATTAACATTGTACAGGTTATTTTTCAGCTTCTGAAAATCTTTTTATCTGATAGCACAATATCAACATAAGACTCATGAATTATGAGTTTCCATGGAAACCAACAGACATCATTTAGCCAAGGATGATTGGGGTCCTTCAACCCAAGACCCTTCTAAACAAAAAACACGCTTAGTAAACTTGTATAAAACCCTAGGTAAAATGGTCATTATGGATTGCATATCCCTGTCAACATTTCCTATACAAAAATTCAAGCAGCTACCTTGAATTCTCTGCAACCAGTAAATCTCCTGATTTCTTCAAAAAGCACCTAAAAACTTGGTTATTCTGTTAATGACATCATTTGAACATGCATATGAAAAACGTGCTATATAAATACATTATTCTTCTTCATATTATCATCATCATCACAGTGTATTTCAAATACATAGACCGACAGTTGTACAAGCTATTGACAATGTACTAGCTCCTGCTTCAAAAAGATCTTAAAGGAGTCTTTATCTGATAAAACAGATTAATACGAGGGTACTTTACATTTATCATGGCTTCTGAATCATGAAATTCCAAGAAACTTTCATGAATACCACCAACATCCTGGAGTAAGGTATAAGGTATATGATAAAGGGTCATTACCCAAAGGTGTTCTAATAAACACATATGACTACATTTCAGTGATACAGTGATCTGTTGGTCTATGGATGTGTATACAGATTGGTGACCAGACATTTGCTTCAAGATTTATTCTGTCAAACATATACGGTTAGGGTAGCAATTGAGTTTTAGGGATATGGGTTAAGCATAATTTTGGGTCCAGGGTTAAACTTAAGAGTTTGGTAACTGACATGCAACATTTGTTGCAGGAACAAGTGTTGTACAACCTAGAGATTAAGAGACAACTAATTCCAATCATGATTGTTAGAAGAGACCAATTTTATGGAATGAATTACCTCCTATTGTTAAAGCAAGCCCAACTTTAAATACATTTAAACAGAGATAAAAACAATTATGTTTTATGTGTATGGCATGTTATGTTATCAACTGTCTATGGAATGCCACCTGTGATTTGTTTGAGAGTTAATACCTAATATCTTTTTGTACCTGAATATATATTGAATATAAACATGGTGGCTATAAACACGTTGTACAAGTTGCTAGGGCAGATAATTGATGTTGAATATGTACAAGCTTTTAAACAACTAATACCTATCAATACTGTCCAATCAATCAATAATAGTCATTCTAAGTTGCAGTCTAATTCCTATGATGTTCTTCCCTGCTTTCATGGATGCAAACATTGTTGACTCTTTAGGCAAGTTTGTGGCACAATTTTCATTTGGGAAGAAAAATTTCAAGGCAAAATTAAGGACGGACAAAGTGCTGTTAAAAAAAAGAAGAAGAATTTCCCCCTTCTATTCATTATTTCCATGCTAAGAGAACCACTGTCTATTTTTAATGAGTGAGGGGAGGGGGGGGGGGTTGTTACTAATAATAAATAATGTTCATTACTTTACTGTCTCTAATAAGTACTTTACTATCTTTATAAATGTTTTAAAAATAATGATGAAAATAAATAGACCGATACCAGATCAAACATTATAAAATAAAATAGTTAGAATTATACTGCACTGCAATTCTAAATGTAAGATTAAAAAAGTTAGTGATGACAGATAACTCCTAAAAAGTAATTAAAAGTTTATTAATAAATACCTCATCCCAGTGAATAGAATCATACAATACATATCAATATAGAGAGTATACATAAACCAACATACATAGATTTAATCTTATCAAAGCCATATTGAAACTATGTTAATGACTAGTTTCCAGATTTCTTTCTATTATATTCACATTTATGAGTTCAACAAAGGAATTAAAATACAACTCCCTGTAATCAGGGTTGTTGTTTGCAAAGTTTACATTTTTCTTGAAGCTCAAGGTGCGCAGAATGATCAGGAATACTTATTTTCAACATTTTTTCTACAATGGCTTGCAGAAATCACAGGAAATGTACCATCAACTTATTTATTTTAAAAAAGAAATCATTAAAAAAAAAATTATGTAATAGGAAATCCAAAATGAAAGAAAGATACCCGTGTAAGGTAATTAAACTAGAGAATTTCTAACAACATATATTTATATTTATTATCTAAAATATATGACCCATGTTAAAATTACGTAGAAGGTTGATTTAAAATTCACACTTTAAAGAATAGAAAAAAATCTTGTAGCAATCCTATTTGACGTAAGTTCATTAAAAATAGATAAAACTAAATGATCCTACAAACAGCATCAAAATTTGACCCTGTACTTCTAACCCATCTTGCACATCAACTGCAACATCAAGTCAAGGCTAATCATGGCTCCTCAATATATTTAGAGCAGTCATCCTCAAATAAATTGAAAATTTCCGCATCCCGGCACCTCAGTAACCGCATCACTCACCACCTTTCCACCCCAAACCGGAAGAACCTGTGCCTGAACTGGGGAGAAGATGAGAAAGAGAGAAAAAGTACACGACAGGTCAATCAAAGGGACTAAATGCATCTGCCATAGGCCTGGGTAACGACTACATTTCTAAGGTGTTTGTTGTGGTATGGCTGGTATCCTCCGTGCGGGTGACGCCGCGGCAGACCACACATTTCGGAAACACATCTATTATTCAACAGGAAGTGTTACATCCAGTTTTGGCAAGGTACGGGAGAAAAAAAAGGCGCTGTGCAGCCTTGGTGTGCATTCTAAATTAAATGGTCCCCGATGCGATAGCGAGCATCCGCGATGGGATGTTGCGCACTTCCGTTATGTCTGTAAATGGAACATTCGTAGGAAATCTAAACACACAAATATATTTTGTTATCCCCTGAGTTTATCCAGGATGCTAGTAGGAGTATATCGGCCTGTCCTTATCAGCTCGAGTTTGCCAAAAAATCTGCTATTTTGACTATCCCGATCACAAATTAGCCAGTTAATTTGCGTCTTCATCAGCCCCCAGTTGCAATTAGCGGGATATTCGGTCGAGAAAATATCCAGAGAAATCTTGGTTTTGTTTAAAAAATATCCTGCTATATGGGAAATAGTGGGCAAATTTGCGCCCGTCCGAGCTAGTTTGTGATGAACGTATATGTCTGATGAAAAAGCAATTTCGAGCTTTGGGATAATATCCCGAGTCTGAAATAGCGGGTTATTTGGCAAACTCGAGCTGATAAAGACAGGCCTATTGAGAGTCAGAAAGACATTAATTAACTTTGTATGAAGTGATGAGTTAATATCTTTCTGGCCCTCAGCAGACCACTCAGTGTGTTGGCCTTGTGCAATAGCTTTCTGTCATACATTATTCATTCAGGTTGCTATTAGTGTAATTATAATTTCAACACCTTGAGTGCAGGAGCCAAATTATTAAAGGCTGGAATGGATCGCTAATTAAAAAGACCACTCACCTACGATACTTAGTACATCCTCCTATGAAGAATCTTATGCTATAGATGTAATCATAGAGACGGTTTTGAAAATTACATACTGATTACAATGAAAAAAATAGCTAATTTAATGGAAATATGTGAGCAATGACGTAAAAACATGACAAACAGACAATTTAATGAATTTATCTCCTCGAACATCAGCCACTTTTTTTTGTGGACATAACAACAACAACAACAAAAATTGATTTAAAAAAATATGTGCTGACCTTGACTTAACCAATCTTCATTTATCATAAAAGTGAACATCTCATCTAGGAATACATATTATGTACAGCATAAAAAAGGCACTCATTATAACAGACAACTTGGCAAAAATCTCAATCACTATTGGCCTTCAAATACAAAGAGAGAGAGAGAGAGAGAGAGAGAGAGAGAGAATGATCATTCATAAAAAGGGTCAAATATAGCTTTTTACTACAGTACTGAATGAATACTGCACAAACAACGAAGCAAAAATACGATGAATCATGCCTTTTGGACAAAAACAGACCGAGTATTAGAAATTTATAAAGGGACGTGACCTTTAAGGCTGAAATTACATTTGGGCTTTAGAGCGAACGAGGGAGAGGATGAGCACTTCGTGTCGCTCTGCTTCTCTCCTCATCCTCGTTGTCTTCCCGCATCACTGAGCAACGGAAGCTTTCTATTACTAGGCCTCCATCTCATCACGCACTCAAGGGAATAGAAATTGAGGGAGAGAGGACCACAGGAGGAGCAGATGGTAGAGAGAGAGAGGGAGAGAAAGAGGGAGAGAAATAGAGAGAGAGAGAGAGAGAGAGAGAGAGGGTGTGTGTGTGTGTGTAAAGCACAGTGAGGGGAAGCTATGAGTATGAGAAAGAAGATGTGATGGAGACAAAGGCTGTGAGAGTAGTGAACACAAAGAGACAAAGATACATGGAAACCGATACAAAAAACTATGTGGAAGACAGAAAAAGACAGAGAAGAGATGGACAGAGAGATGTTATTGTGACATACATGTATCCGGAAAAGAAAAAAAAAGAAAGAAAGCGATTGGGTAAAAATAAAAATGCAGGAAATACAGAGGAGAGAACTGGAATATCAGATATTGTTTCATCTGCATAAAGATTGATGCATTTTGGATTTAAAAAAGACAAGGCTTAAAGCATGGGAAAAGAAATAAAAATCAGCTTCATTGAGAAACAAGAAGAGACGCAGGAGTGGAAAGTTATGGAGAACAGAGAGAGAGAGAGAGAGATGAAGGGAGTGTGCAAGTTAGTGTGTGTGTGTGTGTGTGTGTGTGTGTATTACAAGAGGAAGAGAGATGCATGGATGGGAGAGAAAGGCAGTGGGAAACAGATGAAAAAGAAAGCGACAGAGATAACAGAGATATAGAAAGAAAAAAAGAGGCAGAGATAGAGATAGAGCTAGAGAGAGAGAGAGACAGAGAGAGACAGAGAGAGAGAGAGAGAGATATGAAAGGAAAAGGGGATAGGGCATGGAATGGAGCGCAATCAAGCGAAGGGCAAACGAACCTAATCAAGTAAATTACAGTCAGACATATTATTAGCACGCTGCCAGCTGACCAATCAGCATAGAGCTCTCATCATAGCTTACCTAGCCGCACTTCCAATGGAGAGACCATCTGTTTTAAAGGGTGTAATCACCCAACATCATCATGTACATGTAGATGTTGTATATCATATCAATATTATGTATGATTATAATTTCGCCATCACAAAAATGTATTTTGTATCATCTTTCTGTTTGAGCATTTATTTTACATGGAAAAAAAAAAAAAACACATATAAATATGAATAAATACATTGAATTGAATTTAAAATGGGAATTGGATCACACACTGTAGACCTGAGTGTTCATATGACTTTTTGGATGGTTGAGACTGTACTTGTACCTATGCACCGGTACATGTTTGAATTACGGCCAAAAAAGGCAAATAATTTTAGAAAACTCCACCAATATAGTCAGTGTTTATACTATGCATTGATGTGAATGTGATAGTAAAGACCTAGATGTATATTGTAGCTACATCAGTATGCAATCAAATATCTCACTGGCATAAGTTATTGTAAAGAATCTATCTAGACTATAGACAATGGTTCAATTTATCTTGATGAAGAAAACTGCAAAATTCTTACAACGGAAATATCTCACCAAATTTCTAGGAAAATTATAAAAGAACAAGTATGATATTGACTACCCGGTATTGATAGTAAGAACTGTGTTAAATCTTTGTTGAAGGAAGGAACCCAACAGTCCTTATGGTTTGCTTTTTAATAATAATAATAATATTTATATTTATATAGCGCCGGTATCCGCCAGGCTCCGACGCTCATGGCGCTGTACATATTACTATCACAAACATATAACTTTCAAAGCAGATAGTGACAGTATGCACTGTTACTCTCTAAATCACTATGTAATGTGTACGCCTATAGATAATAGATTCATTTGGTCATGGAGCTATTATGGCTAAATGATAGAAGTATATCATGGTAAATATGTGGCGCATCTATGATATTCACTCATTTAGGGTCCCATATGTTTCCATATGGCATTGAATGTGTCATGTCTCTTCATATCATTCTGATCTAAGCAGCTAGAGTGAGGCTTTTAACTCATATCAGTACAGTGTCTTCTTTTAGTGATGTTTCTGCATTATGATCTTTTGATCCAGAATGCTAGGTATTACACATTACAGATGAGCAGAAAGGGCAAAAATCAGAGAACATTTTGAGTCACTTTCCAATGAAGTACATTATGCTGTTCTTGAATAAGAACGATTTAATTGTAACTAATCATTAAAGTCTATAAATTGGCAATGGAATAAAAATATAAATGTTATTTTTGTGTACAATTTGGCAAATTTTCCTGTTAAATCTTTCAATTTTTTTCACATGGGTTTATAACTTCATATAATAAACATTTTATTTTTTTTGAAACTGAAGAAATGGAAAATTAAATAAATTGTTGTCAATTTGAGGAGGGAAAGCTGATTAATTTAGAAAATGAAAAAAAACCTCTGATCTGGTATGGGTTAACGTAATACAATGATCACAAATACTCAATCTAAGATGGGATTGGCAACATATGGAACTAAATGGCCTACTTGTCTTTGTACAGGTGTAATTAATATACCATTTTTCTTTTTGCACAGCTTGGCAGAACAACAACTGAAACCTTGAAAAACATATGGTTATACCTTCATTGATTAAATGATAAATGCAAACAAACACTTAATTTCCAGGAAAAGTAATCAAGAAATAACATATTTATGCACTGTTTGCTAAAAAGTAGTCACTAGGGCCATTTACACTTGCAATGATGACTTGAAGTGTAATACACTTCACATTCCTGTATCTTCTAACACAGAGCTCAGTGAATACACACAAGCCCTTTGTTGTATGCACTTAACGTAAATATTTATACATTAACAAAAATGCTCAATTTGTTTGTTGATTTTTTATTTTTCAATTTTCAATTTTTTTTTTTTTTTTTTTTTTTTTTTTTTTTGGGGGGGGGGGGGGGGGGTTGCGGTTTAACAGACCGTATCTGAACCAACCTTATATTATTTATTGTAATTTTATGGACAGGTACTTGGGTATTCACAATACACAATATTTTCTTTGCTAGGCTGGGCAGAGAAAATAATTATTACAAAAAAACAACCTTGAGAAACATATGGTAATACCTTCATATTATTATCTCGAATTAAAAAAACCCAGTAGCAGTATAGACCAAAATGCAGATGATTTGCCTTAGCAAAACACAGACAATTACCAAAAGGTATAAACAAAAGTTGAAGTATATGTTACGTATACATGGGGTAGGTATATCATCCTGTAGGCAAATATTACATGGGTGGTACACTAATGGTAAACTTGGTTTGGCACTGATTTTGCATTTATGGATAATGGATTAGTGCCATGTTCCTAATCCTACTACTCAATACAAACATCTAGATTACTGTAATTGCCATCACACAGAAATTGAAGAAAGACAAAATAAAATTTTGTACAAAGTAT